CACTCATCTTAAAGTGGCCAAGTTTGGACAACACTGTCTTAGGTGATGGGAGGAGGATTTTCCAAGCTCATAAGACTTTGTGGTAGATACTTTTTCATTGTTTTGAGACAACCTGATTCTGCTATATAAGCATTCCATTTTTTGGATTTATGTCTTTTGTTAGAGTGAGTTTGAAGCTGACTAAAGAAACTGCTGACTTGTATCGAGTTTATCCTGAACCTTCAATTATTTTGAGGTCCACCATTCAGATAAGAGAATTGGTAGCATTGCATTTTTTGATTCCCAACATTCAGCTATAGCTAAGCTGCATTCACACAACATGGTAAATTTTACCATGGTGTACTCACCAAACTATTTTGGAGGGTTCATGTGATACATGAACCATAAATTAACCACACCAACAGGATTTGTGCAACATGCCATGCAAACTGGTTTTTGTGTTATGCTAATCCAGCTGTAATAATTCTGGAGAAACCTTTTTGTGCAGGCTCAGTTTTTCACAATAGACTCAGTTTTTTACAGCCTGGTGCTTTTAGAAGTAAAATAAACTAGGCTAGGGAAAGCTATATTGAGACTACTAATTGGGGATTTCTTATTCCAGCACAGATAATACCTTTCGATGTTATATTAGCTACTGACTAATAGGAGGCAGTACACAACTGGTTTCATCCTTACTGGGACTCTTCAGGCATAGGTTTCCTCCATACCAGATGATCTACATTCAACCCTAACAGGATTTGAACCCACAGACCTTGCATTTGATGACTACACAGTGCTTTAGAGATACAGTATTTTGGCCTGGCTCCAGTAACTTGCAGGAAGGGAGGTTTATAGAAGCTATGCAAGTACATCTTCCTTTTTTCTTTTTCTTTTTTTAATCTATATTTATTAAGAATTTTACATGAAGTAAAAGACAAATTTAAAGAAAAAGAAAGAAAGAAAGAAAGAAAGAAAGAAAGAAAGAAAGAAAGAAAGAAAGAAAGAAAGAAAGAGAAAGACTGACTCAAGAAAAGAAAAAAAGAAACTAAAATTATGAAATATAATGATTTCCAACCTTCTCTTCAACAGATAATTACAATTTTATAATC